TAGTGTATTTCCTTTTGGTCTTTTATTCTATGTATACATTATTATTTAAATAATTGGGATCACAGTATAAATAGATAAACTATTTTTTCATGATTTTATATTGCAAGAATTTCCTTCATGAATTTCATTTTATAGATGTATAGTATTCCAACATAGAAACCTCATAGAGCACAAAGTAATTAATCCTTTATTGTTAAATGTTTAGATTTTTCTAATTTTTGTTATTATATATAACACTCTGATGAACATTTTTATACATAAATATTTACATCTGGTTATTTCTCTTGGATAGATTCTTAAAAGTGGAAAAATGGGTCAAACAGTATAAACAGTTGTATTACTTTACATATTTATTAACAGTGAGAGACAATAACAAGTATTACCAGTTTTTAAAAATTCTTGCCAAATCAATAGGTTAAAAAAATGGCAACTCATTGTCTCAACTTGCAATTCTTTGATTACCTTAGTTGCATGTGCAGTATTTCATATTTCTTAGTCGTTTGTATTTCTCTTTCTGTGAGTTGTCTCTTAGTGTCCTTTGCTGGGCAGACTTTGTTAATAGTGGCCCCAATAATCCTACAGTTGTCTGCAGAAGATGCCAAACCTTGCATTTAGCCACATCTGATAGGAGGCCAGGCTCCTGCAGGATTAGAAATAGTCCATGTCAGCATTGCTGTTTCAATGAAACCAGAAAGGGGAAAGGTTTCTGTGTTTTATTGGAATCTGGGCAATGAAGTTATTTTGCTGAGCCACATCTATCATATTATTAGGCCTTCTTTTATTTTCTTACTCCCAAAGCTGCTCTTTTTTGTAAAGGCTGCTCTAACAGGAAGGCTGAATTTGATGCATGTGTGTCCTTCCTTTCAGGATGTGTTCACTGACCTCGTACTATGTGCAACACACAGTGGCCACCTAATGGACTGTGGAGTACAGAGGAGAACCTGGGCTGTAGACTCGGGCAGATCTTGGGCAAATCCCTTAACCTCTTGGAGGCTCAGTTTCCTTTTCTTTCAAGCGTAGGTAATACCCTGGCCTTTGAGGAATAAATGCATTATGAATCCAAAACTCCTAGATCAATGTCTACCACATCATAAGACTCCGTTTAGCCTGATAGACATTCTTGAGCCACTTCAGTGTGTTTGACACCGTGCTAGGTGTTGAGTATACAAAGAAGAATCAGACTAGGCCCTTTGCAGCATCTCCTTTGTGTAGGAGAAAAGTCAGGCTGCTTATCGGCTCCAATAAGGCCCTCTCTGACCCCTGCTATTCTGTGGTCCTTCCTTAAGCCCTGTGGTTCCAGGAGTCATGTGCAGGTTGACAGCTCTCTTTAGAGCCCTAGGCCTTAACTGCAGTTCTGGGGCAATGGGAAAAATGCCAGTCAACATTCTGTTACACAGAGTGTCACAGCTATAATTTTTATTTTCTCTTTTCTTCTTAACGTTATGGTAGAAGCATTTTCCCTTATAGTTAAGGGTGTCAGATGGAGCCAGCCAACCTTGGCTTGATCTCTGGCTCTATCACTTAGTAAGTGACCATGGGCAAGTTGCTTAACCTCTCTGTGCCCTAGTTTCCTTATCTGTAAGATGCGGACAATAATATGCTATAGACTGTATGTTTGTGTTCCTGTAAAATTGATATGTTGAAATCCTAACCCCAAGGTGCTGGTATTTGGAGGTGGAGCCTTTGGGAGGTGATTAGGTCATGCGGGGCGGAACCCTTAAGTAGGGGATTAGTGTCCTTATAAAAGAGAACCCTGGGAGCTCCCTTGCCTCTTTCACCATGTGAAAATACAATAAAAAGACAGCAATCTATGAACCAGGAAGAGGGTCCTTACCAGACACTGAATCTGCTGCTGCCTTGATCTTGGACTTCCCAGCCACCAGAACTGTGAGAAGGAAATTTCTGTTGTTTAAAAGCCATCCAATTTATAGTACTTTGTTATAGCAGCCCGAACAGACTAAGACATAATATTAACAGTACCTACTTATTATGGCTCTTAGGAATAAACAATATTTCATGTGTAGCTCTTAGCATAACATCATAGTAAAAGCTCAATTATCTAATAATATTTGCTATACTATCTTCATAGCTACCTCTACAATGACTTTATATGATTAAATAGAACAGATATAATGCCTTTCTTTGATGTCAGATATTTAAGGTGTTTCCAAGTTTTAAACATAAAGTAAAATTTTATTCCTAAGAAATAAAAAAGTTATCTTTTAAAGCAGAGAAACAAATTTAAGAATTAAATGTTGAGTGAATCAACATTAATATACTTAAATTATCTTTCAAAAAGATTCAACATTTTCTATACATATTACGGGCTAATTATCCCATCTTAGAAGCCCTGGCGGGAGTGATCCTTGCCTGAGGCAAATAGCTGGCCTGCATCACTCCCGCAAGGTCTTCTAGTCCTTTGCTCTGTGATTCTCCTGGCAAAGAAGCCGCATCAGCTTTTCTCCTCTATTGCCAGAGAATCTCTGATACAGCACAGCTCAGGGCCAACAAAGCATTTTTCAGATCACATTTGGGATATCTGGTAGGGCAACTATCAGGCCATGTCACCTGATGGGAAGTTACCTGATGGGGTTTCTGCTCTGGTCCTTCAGCCAACAAGGCTCACAGTTAGCAATGGTATAACTTAAATAGGAACCTACAGATTGAGTACTCTCCTCAGCTCAACTAAGTGAGAGAGGATTTATTGGTCCATTTTATAGATGAAGGAAACTGAGGCTCGGAGATGTGAAAGTTTTCCTCCAAGGTAACACATTTGGCAGAGTCTTGACCTAGTTCTGTCTGTTTGTAAAGACACAAGCTCCTCCCATGGGTACCACAGGATCTCTTTTCAATTTAATTCAACTTAACCAGCATGAATTCTTGCTCATATTTATTGCCCCTGCTAAGCACCGAGAACAGAAGGAACAGCTGAGGGAAGAGACAGACACATAAATTGCAAATTCTAGTATGAAGACTGATACATGGTTGTGAGAAGTAATAAAGCCATGTGGGCAGTTCAATGTATTGTGTTGTATATATTTCTGAAAGCCATTCTTAATCCTTTTAGGAAGAGGCGGGGAGAGGTAGATTGATAGATCAGGGCTGTAATCAATGAATAAACAAAGGGCAGTGGGGAAATGGGGAGGGAGAGATTAATTCCCACTCAGAAATCCAGCAATGTCTCTTAGAGAATGTGGCATTTTGGTTGCGGTTTGAAGGGTCGAGAGAAATCAGCAAGAGAATACCCCTTCCCAAAGAGAAGTAAAAATAGAACCTTGGTTAGATCTTGCTAAATATTGGTCTTGAAACCAGAACACTCACCCCCTCTTCCCCTCCCCACCCCTCTCTGCGCCTTACATACATAGACCTGTCAAGACACAACTATAGACAATTAGAAATGCAAAAACACAGAAAATACACATAAAACAGTACACACATATAGATTAAGACAAATAATATATGAAAATAGATACTAGCTCGCTAAACTCACTAAACTTACACAGATACATATAATACTCATACACACAGACTCACAAAACTGGTTATGCTTTCATACACAAGAACATACTACTCATGTAGGTAAATAAATGCATGCTTTCAATAACATACACAGGTTCACACAAATCTCATCCTGCCGGGCTGGTTGGAGGCCAACGACTGATCGGAAACCATGCACAAAGGCAAACATCACGTAGGGGAGGCCAGAACTGGGTTAGCGGTGAGGCTGGGATTAAGCCCCATCAGATGACAAACCCGCCCTGCCTGGCTCCCCCTGGAAGCTGCTGAGCCGAGGTAGCAGCGCCTGACCTAGCTCTGGCCTGGGCGGATGGTGCGAGGCTCCGCGTCCGAATTCCAGCTTCACGCAGGGTTTAGTGTCATCCAGGGTCAAGCTCTGCTATCAGCCCCACCCCAATCCCTGCAACAGGCGGGGGCTCTGGGGACACGGTAGGGCTGTGGCCTGGGGCTGCTTTCTAATCCTAGGCTTGTCCTGACACAGTACACTGGGAGTAGTTAGCATTAATGAGGGTTTACCAACAGTGGGCCAGGCACTGGGTTAAGCCCTTTACGTACATTACTTAATTCTCACAACAGCTCTGTGAGGGGACGGAGGGAGGGAGGGGTGTCCTATCATCTCCATTTTAGTGGTCAAAAAACTGCGCTCGCTCGGGCCACAAAACCACCCAGCAAGAGACAAGAAGTTGAGGTTCAACCCCGTCCAATCCTATTTTTCCCGGGGTTTGGGGTAAAATGTGCATGTGAGTCTGTCTCCCCCAAGCAGGACGCTTGCACCTTCGGCTCCTGAAGGGTCTCCAGACCCCGTCGTCCAGCCTGGCACAACACCTGGCCCACAGCAGGTGCCTGCTGAGGGCTTAGGGTCTTCGTTCAGGGAGGCCCCCAGCAAGGGCCTCAGTTTCCACATCTCTGAAATAGGAATGGAAGCAAAGAGCTCGCAGGGCTGAGGCTGGGCTCTCTCAAACAGCAGAGAGAATGCTGAGCTCTATATCCTCGCTGCTGCCGCCCTAGCCCATCGAGGGGCTCCAGCCCAGTCCCCACCCGAGCCCGGTGCGGCGCCGGCGCCCCATTGTTCAGGAGGGCGGGGACGCTCCCCAGAGCGGGTTTCCAGCCCCGGGTTGCGCTCACAGCCCCGTAGAGCAGATGACTTGGCCCGGCTTCGGCCGTTCGGGGCGCGTCCTTTGTCTGCTCTGCAGCGCCCGGTGCCCGAGGCCCTCGCCCCGCTCCTTGGGTAGACAAAGCCGGGGCCGCCGCAAGCCCGGCGGGCTGGAGCTGGGCTCTCGCCACCCTCCTCCCGCCTTACGCACCGCCCCCTCCCCTGGACGCCCTATGATTGGCCAGCGGTGCTACAAAGAGGCCGGGAAGCGGGTGGATCACGTGGGCTAGCGTGGTCTCCCATTGGTCAGGCGAGGCTGCCAATCGAGGAGGGCGGGCTGTCCGCGCTCGGTCCGGTCTCTCCCTCCGCGTTGGGGCCCGCCCGCGGGGCCGGCCGCCTGTCAGAGGGAGGTGGCGATGGTGATCCTGGTGTCGGCGGCGGCGGCGGCGGCTTCCTTGGTCGGATTGCAAGGGGTAGAAAATGACTGACCAACTGACTGGCTGAATGAATGAATGGCGGAGCCGAGCGCGCCATGAGGAGCTTGCGGAGCCTGGGCGGCCTCGCCCTGTTGTGCTGCGCCGCCGCCGCTGCTGCCTCAGCCGTCTCGCCGGAGAATGTCACCGGTGGCGGCGGGGCCGCGGGGCAGGTGGACGCGTCGCCGGGCCCGGGGCTGCGGGGCGAACCCAGCTATACTTTCCCTAAGGCGACGGCTCCCACAGCCCAGGCCCGGAGGACTGGACCCCCGCGCACTACGGTCCGCCGACCCCTGGCTGCGAGCTCTTCAACCCAGTCTCTGGAGAACACCGCTCTTCGGGAGACAGCCGGACCTGCTTCGACCACCTTTCAGGCGCCGCTCGGCCCCTCGCCGACCACCCCTTCCGCGGTGGAACGCACTTCGGCCACCCCTCCGGCGCCGACCAGACCTGCGCCCACCACCCTTTCGACGACCACGGGCCCGGCGCCGACCACCCCTGTAGCCACCACCGTTCCGGCACCCACCACTCCCCGGACCCCGACCCCCGTTCTTCCCAGCAGCAGCAGCGTCCTGCCCACCCCACCTGCCACCAAGGGCCCCTCTCCACCTCCCCCAGGTGAGTCCCAGCGCTTCCTCACTGGCAGGACCCTCCCCAGCGGCTGTCCATCCTTACCCCAGCCCCTGCCATTCAGGGTTGGGCTCTTGGCTGTAATTTGTCATTTCTTGCCCCAAAGGCTCCCCAGATTTCGGCTCCCAAGGGGAGGTCCAAGCTCCAGCTAGCGCCTCCCACCCCCGTTTCTAATCTGGAAAGTCTTTTGTCCCCCCTGGGCTGTGCTCCCTCGGGAGGGGGTGGATGCCGTGTGGAAGATACCGCATCTCCTTCCGAGCAGGGCTTTCTGGCCTTTGTCAGAGACCCGGAATGGGCACAAACTTTTGGGTTGGTTTCGCTCCTGCAGCCACTTTGCCCGGTTATTTGGGGAAGTTTGTAAGCCAGCATAGTACCTCCTTCCACCAGTGGGTCAAAGCTGAATATAAGGGATTCCTCCCAGAGCTCCGGTTTCCTTGTTCATTTTTTCTTGTTTATGTAAATATCAGATGTGTGTGTGTGACAGGTGAAAGAGATATTGAGAGGATTTTGCTTACAAACAGTAGTACGGGCCACTTGAGGCCAAAAAATAAAAGTAAAAAAAGGCGTTGTAGTCCATGTTTTCCCTGCAAATAAGTGGATGCAGTAGGTCATTTGGGACAGGTGTGTATCTAGGTTGAGCACATGTGTAAATTAGGTTAAATCCCTCCCTTGCACTGTTTTTTCTTCCTCAATTACAAGGTCAATATATTTGGACAAATACGCAGTTTAGGCAGGGATGCCCATTTTTGTCTCCTTGAGCTAGAATGTTCAATTTTGCTGATGCTGATAAATGTCAATTTCTGTTTGAGTCCATGTAGAAAATAAGGCTCTTCCTACTGGTTAAAGTCTTAAAGCAAAGTTAGAAACAGCTCCTATTCTTTCCCTTTTAAATCTAGAGTGGGCTTGAAACTAAACAAATAAAACCTACCATGTCAAGATGTTAGGCAAGAGTTTCTGAGTTCTTTTGCTTTGAGACAGGGTGGAGATTTGCCCAAACCATTTGTCTAGCTGGATCTCTGACCTAAATCTTAGGCTCAGTAATTTACTGTGGAATCAGGTATGGACTTTGGACTATAATTGAGTTTGTAGACAATTTTCTCACATGGTTATTTATGAGCCTTAATACAGTCTTGAATCTTGGGTTGGAGCTTGGCAACGACATAAGTAGGAATGCAAATTATTCACCCGTAAAAAGCCAAGTTTGCATCTCTTCCAACTCGGAGTGTATTAACTAGCTAGGTTTTACTTGTAACTCTTTTTGGCCTTCATTTAGAGAGATCGACATATAACTGATAGACAAGCATAGTGGTTGAGAGTATGGACTCTGGAGTTTAATCTTAGGTTTCAATCCTAGCTCTGCCCCTTATTAGTTGCATAAGCTTGGGCAGCTAGCTCACCTGACCTCTCTGGCCTCAGTTTCTTCATCTGTGAAATGAAGTTAATAAGACTACTTAACCTCATTGGATTGCTGTGACGATGGAATAAGTTATACATTTACAGTGCTTCTAACAGTTCCCGGTGCAGAATAAGCACCGTATGCGTTGGCTATGCTGATGGTCAGGCCTAGGCCCCCACCTCCTTTATTTTATAGATAGAAAGCATTTGAGAAAACTAGTAGGGACTTGTGATTTTTACATGTTTTAGTAAAATATAATAGAAAGAGGATGGATTTGATTTTCTGGAATTTTAAACACGCAGTAGCACTTAAGTAGCAAGATCACTTACTTTGGTTAGTATCTGATAAATAAGTCTGTATAATTGATGTTATTTTACTTTTATTATTTTTGTATTGTTATTTTTAAACTACAAAGGTAACCCTTACTGGCAAAAATATACAAACAACCAGAAGTCTACAAGGGAAAAAGTGAAAGTCACTCCTTCACTGCCTCCTAGTTCCAGTCAGTCCCTAGAGGTTACTACTGTTGGCAGTTTGTCGAATCTTTTTTCAAACATTGTGCTGGGCATATATGAACATACACACAGAGTATTTTAAAATAGATTTTAAAAAATCAAAACGGAATAATTCCATGTTGTTTTGCAACTTGTGGTATCCATTTAATTATGTACCATGGACTTTTTTTTTATGTCAGTACCTAGAGTCTACCTTATTCTTTTTAACAGTTGCATTTTCCATTGTAAGAATGTCCCATAATTTATTTAACCAATCCTTTATTTATGGACACCTAGATTGCTTCTGGGCTTCACTTTAAAAAGCACAGAGAAGGGGCACAGGGTGTTCTTACTAAGTCCATCATATATTTATATTCTCTAATACTTTGGAGTTTCTTAGAATCCAGATCAATTTTAAGTGAAGTAAAGCTGGACTGATTAATATTTGCCATCTGAAATGTTGTTCAAAGCTTTTAGTAATTGCCATGGACTGATATTATGCTTACATCTATGCTGGTCTTTGAGTGGCAAAAGTTTTAGAAGAGTGTCCAACTTTGATAATTCTGTGTTTTAAATATTCTATACTTTGTACTTTTCTGTGAATTTGCTCTAGATTGCCAGTGTCTAGTTCTCAGCAGCTGAACTGACTTTGTGGGCCTATTGATAGGCAATTTTAGCTTTACAGTGATAAGATCAAGTATGGACTTTTTATGTGAGCATGGGTTCCAGCCTACTTTAAACAGTAAACATATCTCTTTGGCAGAAGGAAAACTTCTAATTGAATTTGAGAGAACTAGTTTGGCTTGCAAAGTTGGATTCCCTGGCATTTGGGAAGATGATTGTACAGGGTTTTTTATGTCAATGTTCTTATAAGGACTGAGTGCCACTGATAATATATTATTTGATTGGATAGGTCTTATAGCTGCTTTTTGAATTAAGAAGAATTTCTTTCATAGAGATCTAGCTGAGAGCTCTTGCCTGGCCCTCAGTTAGGGCCCTCTTTTGTTTACAGGGACACTGATCTGAAAACTGAAACTAATTACCCAGCAAGCAGGCACTTTCCTCCCCAAACCTGGCAAAACATTCAGCTGATTGGTTGGTTGGTTAGGACATTTTAAGCAGGGTGAAGGGAGATGCTCTGACAATGGAGAGTAATAATAATCAGCAATAAGACATTGAGGTAATGACAAATGTTTTATTTTTAAAATTACGGACTTTTAGGGCTAGATAGGACCTAAGAAGCCACTACCTCGTAGCATGGCCCTACATTTGAAGAAATACTTCCATGGGCATAGCCAAAATATTTCTCCTTGTAGTTAACTGACTAATCTGGTTCTGCCTTTTGGGGCCATGCAGAACAAGTCTGCTGTCTCTGTGCCATGATGGTTCTTCGGGATTTGGGGACAGCGATTATGCTCCCTCTGAGTCTAAGTAACCTCAGCTTCTTCAACTGGTCTTTATGTGACATGGTTTCAAATCCCCTCATTATCCTAGTCACCTCTCTTCTGGTCTTTTTCAGTCTTTCTCTGTCTCTCCTAAAATATGGAACAGAGCTGACTGTAATACTCCAGATGTGCTCTAACTAGCTCATAGCAGAGAGGGCCGTTGCCTTGTTCTTTCTGGATGGGATTCTGCTGTTGATGTGGTTAGTCCCTAATCACAGTAGCTTTTTTGGCAGCCATATGATGTTGCTGACTCATTGAGTTCATTAAGATAGCTCAGTCTTTATTTATCTTTTAATATATGCTAGATGAGTCTTCCTTCATTCTGGACTTGGAAATTCTTGTCGTTTTCTAAAGTATAATCTGAGACATTTACTGAATTTATAAGATTGGTTGTGTTAGATTCAAGTCATCCTTTTAGATCCCAAGTCTGTCAGTGTACTCCACCCAGTTTATTCACATTTACCTGCAGGGTGTTCCTATAGACTGAGTCTAAGGACAAGTTAGGGCAGGTTATTCTTACCTCATAAGGGAGAGTAAATTTATGAATGATAAAACAGTTGGGAAGGGAAGGGATGATAGTTTAGATTAGTTCTGAAGAGTCTCTTTCAGCTCTGAAGTTCTATGATGATTTAGTATGCATGATTCAAGGCACATTTATGCCCCCCTAAAGAGCCTTAATTATTTATTTGTGATCTAAGTGATGAGACTAGACTTTGTTTAAGCAAGCCCTAGAATTTAGAATTTGAAAACTCTGACTACTGTGATTACTGTAAATAAAATATTACAAACGGATTATATGAGAACATCCTGGGAATACAGGGCCCTCCTAACTGTACTGGGAAATGTATTCTTCATCCTAATGTGCTCTACTACTAGGACTACTAGGTTTAGTATCTTACTTACTTGTGGTTATTTAAAAAGATGCCATTTATTTTAAGGAAATAGAAACTGTTCAGGCTTCAAAGGTAATATAGATCCACAGTCTTTTATCCAAAACTCAGGGGTTTGAATGTGTTTCAGAATTTAGAATTATTGAGAGTTTAGGAAGTTAATAAATACATCCCAGTGAATTGAGGCAGCATCCTATAATCAAACACATTAAGATATCTACAGCAAAATGCATGTATATTCACACTGAGTGGGATAAATAAAGACTGTAAATAGTCTTGTACTTGCTCAGGTCAGATTTGGATACCAAATGCATTCAGGGCAGGGCAGGTATTTGCCACCAAATGAGTTACAGAAAAATTTTTGGTTTTGGAGTTTCTGGTATTTAGCATCGGGTTTGAGGGATTGTGGATCATTGTAATAGCAATTGCAAATACACTGTGTTCCTGGCACTATTCTGAGTGCCTTAAATATATTAACTCATTTAATCCTCAGAGTAGTTAGGTGCTATTATTATCCTCATTTTATAGCTAAGGAAACTTAAGTCCTAGAGAAGCCCTGCTATGGTGGAACCTATATTCAAACCCAGTCAGTCTGGCTCCAGAATCTGTATTATTGTCATTTAAATAAATACAGTTGTCTAGAAGAGAAAATTAGTAAACCATTTTGCTAGAAATATTGGTCCTTGGATATTAACCTGAAAAAATTTCTACTGTTCTTAGCATTTACTCCCTTTGCTCCATTGTGTGCTATTCATTTACCTCC